TTTCTTTGCAGTTAACCAAATCTCTACAGATAGAACGTGGCAAGAACATTTTGGTAGCGATACAGGGAAGAAAAAGATGGCTTTGTGATTTAAAAACTAATGACTTGTTCATTCATTCTCCCGTTAAATCCCTGAAGATTTTCTAAGTACATATTGCCTAATTAAAGTTTCAAATAACCAGTTGAGATTAGAGATTTTTTCAGCTACCAGAGCATGCTCATCATCTCAGACTGAGGTAAAGAACAGCATTGCTCCCAAGCCTGAGGGGGCCATGTGTAAACAGCAGAAAAGAGATGCTGATAAGGTATGACATTATTTCTTTGTGGCAGTTCAAACATTTCTAAACTGGAGTGTGATAACCCAGAAAAAAACCAAGACTTCTGCCCCTCAGAAACCCAGGACTGGTTTAAATACGATTTAGAAAGAAATGCAAGAAAACACAGGCCTGATTCTGTCAGTAAGACAAGAAAGAGATCACATGCATTAAAAGATAAAATACTGCATATTCTAAATGTTTGCAGGATTTTTCTTCCTTTAATAAGAACACTTCAATATGGCCACTTAACTTTTGGTAAGCCCTACAGTATGAATGAGCATTACATTCTTTTTCCGTAATATTTTCAGTAAAATAATGACTTCATTATATGTTACAATACATAAAGAAGCCTTAAAAATGGCCATGCATTTTTACTGTTTATTTCCCCCACTCATGTATCAGAAATACCAAGTCTAGTCTTCACTGGTTATAAAGGATGCCTGTGAAAACTTCAGGGTATGGTTGCTTATATCTCTCCACAACTGATGAAAAGCAGCTGTGTTGGATCTAAAACCCCTCCTTTATCAGAACCATTATATACCAAAGTTATAGATATTAATTCTTTGAACCATGCAAAAAATATAGCTCTCCCCTAAAAACAGTTGAGATTTCATTTGATCCTGAGTCATCACTAGGCCCAGAGAATCTTAATGTTTCATAGCTGAAGGCCTTTATTTTTCCACACAAAAGGCAAGGAAAAAAACCCCACCCACGTGAAAATTCTCTTTATCCATGATAAAAATGGCTGTAACGCTATTAAAGCAAGAACAGTAGTAACATTTTCCATCAATTCTGACCAAAGAATCTTAGCAATTCTTACGAAGGAACAGTGGTCAGTCCAGCTATACAGCTTGCCTTTATCACTTCCCTACCACAGCCAGACATTCATGACACTGATCAAAATAAGGGCAACACAGATCCCAAAGATCTAGCTAAGAGATCCCCAAGAAGCAATCTAGCTAAGAAATATCTGGTTTATGGACAAAAATTGACTAACTGAAGTCTGAAGAACAAGCAAAACCACAGCACAAGCGACAGACAAAAAAGTATGTTTACCTTCCTGATTTGGCAGCAGATTAACACAAAACCAGAAATGGTGGGAGGAGGGATGCAAAGGTTGTTATGAATACCTACCAGCTGTTACCAGAACAAGATTTTGCCACAAATTCACTATTATAGCTCTTCCCCTAAAAGTGAGAAGTTCCTCATGCTACCTGTTCAAATACTTCCTTCTTAGCAGAAACATTTATACAAATTACACTTGTAATTGGTAGCTACATTTCTCCAAACAAGCAAAATTGGATTTTTTTCCCCAAAACATAAGTTTAACACATATCCTGTAAGTACTGCTATCGCCTGTGAAACAAATAACACCTCCTATATTTAAGAACTGAAGAAAATTGCTTGAAGTTTCACAGAAAAAAAAGACTCCAGATGTATCATAACTTACAAGGCAGTTATCACAAATGCTACTTTCTTTTCTTTTTTGTGGTCATTCATTCTGTTTCACAAAGAGGTTTAAAATTATTACATCTCAAACGAAAGCCTATAAAAACATACTGAAAGATACAACATGCTTAAAAAGAGTTTTCTTGGTTTCACAAGCTTTTCTTGTTTCTCTTTTATGAAGAGCTAAGAAATTAAAATTAGCATTTGAAAGTATTAAAAAGATTGTTTAAATTTCTCATTTAGGTGTTAAGATTTCACAGGTGCGACTTCTCATTAAGTACAGTGAAACCTTCTTGAAATCAACCTTGCTAGGCAACCTCTGT